CTAGTCCACGAGGTATGCTGGCATAATTGAAACCTAATGTTCTAACAAATAATTTTCTGGTGAAACCATTCTGTACCTTTTCTAGGTTGTCCAAGCCTCATGAGCCGCTGTTTGGCCGATGTCATAGTTTGCGAATCGAGCGATTCGCTAGCGATCCGAGCGTTGCGCCAGCGAATCGAACGTTGCACCAGCGAATCGAACGATGCACCAGCGAGTCGAACGATGTACCAGCGACTCAATAGTGGCGGGACCCAACGTTCAAAGGAAGCCCGCCACCAAACAGTGTCCACTGTCAAGTCCCGCCACTTTCAAACAGCGTCCACTGTCACGTGACACTGTTTGAAAGTGGCGGGCTTCCTTTGAACGTTGGGTCCCGCCACTATTGAGTCGCTGGTACATAGTTCGACTCGCTGGTGCAACGTTCGATTCGCTGGCGCAACGCTCGGATCCAGCGATTCGCAAACTATGACATCGGCCTATGAGGGAGCGCAGGCGGGAGCATCAAAAAGAGGGGATTCGAAGGATCAAGCTAAAGTAGCTCGTAGACGCTTCCTAGGCAGATGTAACTCTCTCGTCAAGGTTACAGAATGCATGACTGACCCTGTGTGAGACCCAGTCAAGCTAACCCTTCGCGAGTCATGCCAGTTGTGAAACGGTGCAGGTATATCCCTTTCAACCATGTAATAATCTCAAGCTTTTGCCAGCCAATGTGTGGTCACTGATGAGTTTTTGAATGTATCTGTGCGTTGGTATTGCTACATTTCATAGCACAGTAATTTGATGGAACACTATGAAGTTAGTATATAGTAAACATAGTAATATGCAGTAAAAATGAACATTATAGTTACCATCGAACGGAGTGACAATGAATGCAGAAGCACCTCCAGCCACCAGCCCCGCCAGGAACGACACCCAGGCAACAGCGTCACCGCAGCCACCTTTTTTACGTGGTCCCTGAAGGAAAATCAACGTTCACTTGGAAAACTTTGCTCAAAATCGCCATTGAAATGAGACTGCGCCCGGTTAACCTCAAGAAAAAAGAAGTTGGCTAAAACACGCAAATTGTACCCCCTTCGTCCTTGTTGCGCTATGACACTCTATACCACTTCACTCACCAGTGAATCGAGATGAGCGAACAGTGGGAAGTAGATCATTGAAAATGTGACGTCACGTGCAAGTGTGGAGTTTAGGCCCCTGAAAATCGAATATTCTTACAGCTGGTTTAGCAGTGATCTATGAAGCGACTACTAATGGTAAGTTTAGGAAGGGGACTAATGGTAAGTTGAAAAGCCGATGACCAAGAGGTGTGGGTGAAGAGGTCGCGTTTGCGGCGGCGTGCCATGACCGAGCGATCGCGCGCGGCGGAATGGCGGTCTTACCGTGGCTGTGGCTCTTAGAGCACGTGTGACGTCATGGAGCGCAGTTCTCCTTCTCAGGTCAGGCCAATTTGTAAGCATAAGCCTAAGCCTAAGCCTGAACCAAGCTTAACCTCACAAGGGAGGTCTTTCAGGGCAAGGTGCGCTTTTTCAAACGGTTTTGTGCATATTGTAGGGACGCATGTAGGGAACGCAAAACCATGTTTCATTTTCGCTGAACGGTTATAGCAGTACCAAAAAAGAAGCATAAGGTACTGTTAAGGGTTCGATCCCCCGTGGCGACTAAATTTTGCATTTGGGTTGGCGCCTACGGTTTGGTGCCAAATCGCGCTAAATATCAAAATCAGATGTCAAATTCATCGTCAGGACCATTTTGAAGCCAACAAGTGGCCGCCAACCTTGATTGCAAAATTTAGTCGCCGCGGGGATTGAACCATCAAGAGTATTATTCACCACTTTTTTGGTACTACTAAAACCGTTCAGCGAAAACGAAACATGGTTTTGTGGTCCATACATGCGTCCCTACAACATGTACTAAACCGTTTCCAAAAGCGCACCTTGCCCTGAAAGACCTCCCTTGTTAGAATTCAATGATCGCGCAGCACTGGTGACCTGATCCCGGGAAGAGAACTGAACTGTCTCCCGACCAGGGTCAAGCGTGCGTTGAGGAATCCTCGACATGTCACAGAGGGGGGGTCGTATTGGCCCGCTGGGGAGAGATCGGGCCCGATTGATACAGTAGGATCATCGTCGGAGGACAAACATTAAGGATCGAATCGATACCAGGCCAGAGTATTTCCAATAACAATTGATTCCGTCCACACAAAATCTTTTTTGCAGAGAGAAAGCACGAGGATTTTGAATCTGCTCCTACTTCAGTATGTAATCGCTCCTGCAAGGAGCTATAGTCGTTGGGATAGTGCTAATGTAGCGAAAAAGTACCTTTCGGCGGTACTCGGGCAAAAATCCTCAACGTGGCCATTTTTTAAATAGTGAACGTATTTAGCAGTTTAGTTGCCTTTAGAAGAGCAAATCTTCTAGTTTATGATGACGTATTAACTTTCCAGATTGCATGAGTTTGAACGGAGTTATGGCTTTGGAAAGCGTAAAAACTCGCACTCATCACGAATTTTCCTCGTTAATTTTGCAAAAATCCTCAACGTGGCCATTTTTTGAGTACTGGACGTATGAAGCTGCTTTAGCGACCGTTTGATAGAGAAAATCTTCTAGTTTTGTATGACGTATCAACTTTTTGAATTTGACGGAAATGAAGCAAGTTATTGCTCCGGAAAGTGTAAAAACTCGTGCTCGTCTCGAATTTTCCTCGTTATTTGATCTAAATTTGTTATTTCTTATAACTTCCTGTAATTTCAGTACTGATTAGAAAAAGCTCTTCACAAAACTCCCAAATCTGCTTTCAGATTGAAAATTCGTTAATTTGAAGAAAGTTATAATCATTTGAATATTTGTTCAAATTTCAATAGTAAATAAGCTGCTCCACGGTCAACGCCAAAGTCCAGTCAACACACAGCTGGCGAAGGCTTTTACAAAGGCTTCCTTTGAGCGAAAGGGGACGTGTAAATTGAGAACCATAATCTGTGTAGTACTAGAATTTGGTAAGTCTTGTGGAGGAAATAAACAAAGAAGAGGTGTTGTCATAGTACGCCCATTTCTAGTGACTAGTTTGACGTTTTTTGCTCCGTTTCTCGTTTGCTCGTTTGACAGGACTCGTCATTAATGATCATTCTTTGACTTTTTCACTTTTATACTTTTTAAACGAGTTTTTTGTGGACGGTGGGGTAGCAGGGCTTTTTTATGAGCAGTTTTGGTGGAGAATTAAACAACTTTTTCATAGTTCGGCTTTTGAAGAGGGTTGTTTCATGGACTTCGGCCTTCGGCAGAGGGAGGGGGGTCGTATTTCCGAATTTTCCTCGACGCCTCGCTTGACCCTGCCCGACGTCATGCAATACAACGCAACGACATCGAATACTGACTAACGAATACTGAATACATCTCTATTTGAGTACAACTTCAGCTGGGCCTACATAGTCCTTTTAATTGCATTTGCCGAAATTCGGCTTTTGATAAATTCGTCCTAAAGAATCTCCTTATTACCTTCAGCGCTGCCTAGCTGGTTCACTTAGTTAATGTTCTGTGTTCTCTAATTTTCTTTGATGCTCGGATGTGAATTAGTATAGCGCACCTAAGCGTGCAATAAATAAATAAATACCATGATGGTCATTCGGGGCCGCCCGACAACTCGTCGAACAAACTGGTCCTGATGACGCGCTTACCGTACTTCGTTGAAAGTTTTAATCAATATCCTATTGCTCCCTTAATTCCACAAATTCCGCTCCCAAACATCATTAAAATAATAGTTACCACAGCTCACTCAAATCTCGGTAACTTACTTGTATAAACCAGCAATGCCATGCTGTCGAACGAGATTTCTGGCGACACTGAGTGCTGTTAACTTTTTCTCACCTTTGACTGAAATTTGCACGCTATTATCGCATGAGAATATTCAGCGTTCGCGAGGCTCTATCCCGCGTTGAACCTTCTTTTTTGAACCACCACTGCTTTAGTTCATTTGGCCATGGTTACTGTCGTGCAGCAGTCTAGCAAGGCGCGAGAGGGCTGGGAAATTGCAATGCCGCGCGTAGCACGTTCGCGCCGATGGTGTAACTCGTACTTCCCCAGCTTTTCATGCGGGTTGAGTCAGCTCTCCCCGAACTGCTTACTTGCCATAGGCTCACGACTTCCTTGTTTTGCACTGAAAATTCCTTACTTGCGCTGAAACGCGCGATTATGCCACGCGTCGCGGCGTCGACTGCCTCCCCCCCCCCCCCCGCCCGTTCAACTACGTTAGCACCCAGAGGCAAAACCAACCAGTCATATGACGCACAAACTGTATCCAACCTGCAGTACGCCCTTGGTCTTGCATCTGGATTTTCAACAGCTCCATAGGAGTTGTGACGGTCATTTGAAACACTGCGGTGAGGCCGCCGGCAATCATTCCTCGAAACACGCTTAACCTCCTGGAACGAGATTTCTTATAACCGTATTGCGAACGAGGGGACATTTTCCCTACTTTCACAAGGCATGAATCTCCTAACGCTCTTGAAAGCGATTTCTATGGTCAAACTATAATAAGTTGATAATCCCACTCTGGTATGAAAGAAGAAATGCGAAGTGGACCGGAAGTGGAGAAAAAAGGAAAGGAAATTGTCAAAATAAAGGAAATTCAAAGCTTCTCGCCCTACGCTGCGAAGAGGTTTAGAAGCAGACGGCTAGGTAAGAGATAGTGTGACTTGCGGAGAGGGAAAAGAAGTTTGAGTCGGGAGAGCATTGCTGATTAACAATACGACACACGTAGGATATGACGACTGACGGGCACGGATCCCTCTAGGAGCAGCAGGATCCAAGTCCAAGTGTTCACATACTCGAAAGTTGCGTAACTACTGCCGTTTCGACCTTAATTAAACCTTAAAGGAATCTTCCACGGACCATGGACCAGTGGGCGGGACAGGTAGGTACGGATCCACGTGTCGAACGCACGAACGTGAACAGGATTCACTTCAAACCTTCCCATGAACGTGGATCCGTACCTACCATGCATTTCGTCGCAAAACCACTTCCGGTCCCGCCCACTGGTCCATGGTCCGCTTCTTTAAATTCACAGAAGACACTCCTTCAGTGGAGCTGAGCCTATCCTTAGAAGCTTAAAATACATGTTCAGAGGAATTCTCCCCGTAACTGAGGTAGGTAGAGAGTCAACGAAAGATGAACACCGCGACACTGAAATGACTTGAAAGCGCGTGGCAAGTGCGCAAATGATAGGGTATTGCTTTCCCCGCTGCAACCCATTTTATACTCGTTCCGCGATGCCTGCACCCTTTCGTATAACGTGCTCATTCTCGTTTTCCCACTTCTCGGCGCGTTGTGTCTCACCGTTGTGCACAGTCAACCTCACAAGGGTCCTGAAATCGGATTTTTACTTGGTCTTTTTGATTTTTTTCAGCCCCTCTGACATGTCCGTCTTCGCTTCTCTTGTTTCATTTGAGAAGAACACACGCATAATTAGACCAAAACTCGTGCCTTTAAAGCCTGCACGTTTCATCATGTTAGTACTATTACTTCAATCCTTTACAAAACCCACTTCTGTCCTGGAACGGAGAGGTGATACCGAAAGAAGTCATTAGCGGCGAGTTTGATAGCTTTTTCTGGTGTAATCAGTAGAATATTCACAGCGGAACCAGAGTAGATTGCACGAATCTGAAGAGTTTGCATAGTAAACTCCAAACTCTCTCATCTTGAAACCTCAGCATTACTCCTTGTTACTGTGTGTCTTTGCTTCTGTCTTCAGGTTGATAGGTGTACTATTTAATCGGCCAACGTTTTGACCTCCACGTTTTCAAAAGCCTGACATTGGCTCAAGGCTCTGAAATTGCTCAATACCCCACCGAACGCCCCCTTTCAGCGTTTATGATGTCATTTCGGGTACCCCCCCCAGGAGGCCCGTCGCGCGACAAGAAGGCGAGTCAGCGGACGAGTTCCGCGCGTACTGTAGGGATTTCGCGTCAAGTTAAATAGAATGTTCCATTGTACGTCCTTACATCGCTCACGCGCTGCGACTCGTCCGCGACTCTGCCTTCTTGCCGCGACGGGCCTCCTGGGGTCTCGTGCCGTCGGTGCCTGTCATTTCCAAGGCGTCGGGAAAGTCAGATTAACTGAGAGCATGAGCCCACGCCATGTCAGATTTCAGTGGAGTGCAGTGTAGTTAATTTCACACACAACGTTAGGATAGGCATACATTTGTAATGATATGCGATAGTTCGTTAGCGTCTTGTACAATTATTTGCAGTTAAGGACGTGCAACGATTCGCTATAGAGGAAACGGCCGGCAATGTGCCGGCAAGAGTCATGGTGTGAGCTGCCCATTCATTTTGGTATGTTCAGTCCTTGACTTCGGCTGAAGTCAGAATGAGTCCAACGCTTTTCTAGCCAATCTATTACTCATGAGCCAGTAGTCGTGCATCTATATTAAAGTTCATTACACATGTATTCTCCTGTGTTCTCCTACGTTCAACTAAATACTCACGTATACCAATGCTGGATGTTCTTTCGTAATATACTGAGAAGTTCTACCACGTTCCCACGGACATGGAGTTACATTCACTCTCACTCGATATCATTAAATACGCCTGTTAAAGCAGTAACTCCACGGGCCGAAGGGCGAGAATGGGACCATGCGTCTTACGAGTATATCATCAGACTGAGTCGTGACATGGTTAATCCAATACAGTCAATATCTCGCAGAGTTCTGTGGTCGTGTCACCCGCGAAATGACGCGCAAGCCAACGCTTGATAGAAAGTTGCGCGGATAAGCTGCTTCAAGCACGCTTGGCTGATATCTGGCGGAGTATTTTATCCACACAACATCTATCAAGTGCGTTGGCTGCCACGTCATTTCCGGTGACGCGCCCAATCAGGCTTCGAGATTGACGTGGTAATGGAGAGAACGTAGAACTTTGCAGTTCGGGACAAACACCTGCTGGGTAAACGGGCGCAAGTAATCTGGACTATCGCCGAGAGCAAAGGGACAAACAGAGACAGTATGTTAATTATTGTGGAGCCTATTGCACTCCATACTACAACACCAGAAGGGATGAGAGAGGTCAAATTTTTTTGCTGAAAATTCTCATATAAGGGTTATGGGGGGTCCTGATAATGAATATGAGGTCCATTTTTGGCGCTGGCGCCATATGGCGCCTTGACTGAATCTCACCAATTTCGTAAGTAAACTCGTAATATAGGGGTTATTTGGAGTCCTAATTACGATTATTACATTCGCTTTTGTCGTTGGAGCTATTTAGTACCTATTTCCTGCTCGTCTGCGCCCTCTCACGAATTGGATCGCAATCAGGACTAAGCTTTTGGAGAGTGGAAGGCTCTAAAGTTGAGTGAGAAGCACTCTTTGATCTCACACTCTTCAACTTTTGCCACACGTTACTTGGTTTACCCACTAAACCGCGGTCACTCCTTTTACCTAGGCTCGGTCCTAGGAGATGAGTGAGAGAGCTCAGAAAAGCAGAAAATTATTAGGTTGGAAAGAAAGTTCTGCAACACTCTTTCCAAAATTTTCTTTTTTTCTGAAAAATTCATAGGTAACATTTATGACTACCAAATGATAGAGCATTCTCAAGGCTTCAATCCACGAGGTGGATATAAGTTCTGCAGTCAGTAGTTATCCAAGAAAATTCAAAAAATCTCGACCACTAGCAAATCCGTACTCCGAGTCACTGTCTAGTACAAATGTCTACAAAACCATGGATTCGTGTCAACGACTGACACTATCTGCAATAGCTTCTAATGGCATGCCGTTCAGCGATACAGCGTGTTTCACCTTTACCAGCGCTTCCGATCTTTTGATATTTTTATAAGAAGCCAGCAGCATCCCTCACACTCCATTACAGGTAGGGCTCTTACAGAAGCTCCACTACATACCCTTCGTTATGGGCACCATTGTGTAGGCAGTGGCCTAGGTTGTGGAGTACCAGAAGCTGGCCGAGGTAGCTCGTCAAGAGCCCTCGTACCGCGACAATATTCATTTCTTTCATGACATTGCGAATCACCATGATCCGAAATGAGCCCGGTAAGAAATTCTGGAGTTGCGGCAAGATTTCTTTCCTCTCTTAGCGTAATCCTCCTGGTCGAGCTGTAAATAAGTGCTACCTATCCTGGACCTTTAATCATCATCTTTATAACGAAATAATCAGACGATCAACTCCAACTCGAAAGTGAGGTCGCCTCCTTTCTCGACTCGCACTCCGCTGGGTTTTGGCAGAGGAGGATCAAGAAATTTTCTGAGCGATGGAGACAAGTGGTGGACACTCATGGTAGATATAAGACCGGTCAGAAGTTGTAACCAAAAAAGATAAAATTAAAATCAAAAATTTGAAAAAGTGTTGCAGGACTTTCTTTCCAACCTAATACAATTGCAAAAACGGCGCGAACGAAAAAACCGAGTGTCATATTTGCGATCAGGGCCTCAAATAATATCTATATGCAAGTTTACAGCGAATTCGGTGAGATTTAAGTATCGGCGGGCAACTGGGCGCGTCTGGCGCCAATTTGGCGTCAACGTCGAAAATGGATTTTCATATTCGTGATCAGGACCTCCGATAACCCCCATAGAAAAAGTTTCAGAAAAATTTTGACTATTTTACCTGGGGTTGTAATAGCAATAGTGCCTCATTTTGATATCAATTACACGATATTTGTTCATGAGATAGAGATTTTGCCAAAAAAGCGAAAGCATTCTGAATTTGAGCAAGAAATCAAGGAATTAACAACAGAAATGAGTGTGTAACAAGTACAATAACTCTTGCCGTTTATGCACATTGACGAACTGTTTCCTCAATAACGAATGTGCACGTCCTAAACATCACGCTCGCACAAGAACTGCTACCCTCGCCTTCAAATAATCAGAAATTGTGCTTTTGAAGAAATGGAACATGGGCATGCGTACCGTAGCTAACTGTCTCATTTGAAAAGGTGACATCACGTGCGCTGAGCAGAATTTTCTTGAGGGGGGGGGGGGGGCGGGGGGGGGGGGGGGGCGGGGGGGGGGGGGGGGCGGGTATCGATGCACGTTAATGCCACGTCAATTTTGCGCTGCCTCAGTCTGGTCATTGAACGCAAGGGTGAGTTATCTGAATATCGCATCGCTGCTAAGTATACATACTACCTGGGTTAGCATTACCCAGTCGCGTGGAGGGGAAGGTGCATACCTTGCATGTTCTGATATTTCCCAATCCATCCTGAGATGACGTCAAAAACGCTTGAAGGAAAGGAATAGTGGTGGAATAAAGAGCAATTTTAAAGCCTTGAGATCTAGGCACTATTGCATCATTACAACCCCAGTGGGGGTGAGATGGGTCAAAAAATAATTTTCGCTGAAGCGGGGGTTATCGAGGGTCCTGATCACGAATATGACATCCTTTTTTGGCGCTG